GCTGCACTATACAATCTATTCTCCCCTTGGGTGTGTGCTTGGTCACATTCTCTTTTGGCATAAATAAACGTAACTTGATTAACTCCAACAATGCTGTACAAACGCGTATCAGTCCACAGTCTGTCAGCTTATGAAGGTGTAGAAGGGCAAATTTCCAAGTGGTAAGTGCAATGTCTCCTCAGCTGCACATGATATATGTTCTGCGATCTGCTATTTAGTGTCAAGTAAGAATTCCAGATATTTGAGCCAAAAAAAATCTGCAAATGGCTTTTCTCTGGCAACACTGCTGCTCCTGCAGTCACTACTTGCGTCTGCACTAAAATGTTTTTGTGTAGCAGCAAGTCCCTTTGAAATCTGAATTCACTTTCTCTGAAGTTCTCCTTATCTCCTGATCTTGATACCGTTCTGCAAAATCCATCTGGTTCATTCAGAAATGACAGAAAAAACACATGGAATGGAAGACTCGTTTTCTATTTGCAATTTGATTACTCCAATACTATAGAATTTGTCAGTGACATGCTGTAGCAAACACTATCAGTAATATTAAGTGGTTAGACTTCCCAGCTCTTCATGATATTCTGAAAAGTGAAATAAAAAACATGGCATTCGTCATTTCTGTATGTTATAAGCTTACTTTGTATATACTAACAAAAGATCCCAGAAAAGCTCCAAGCTGGAAATTTTCCTTGTTGTAAAAGAGGGAAAGTAGCCGGGATGGTTCTGTAAACAGGTGACGGAAGGTGGATGGAATCCGAAGGCAACACTGGATCAGGTAACCGATGCTGAACATCCGAATGAAGCCCTAGAGAAAAGAAAGATTTTGTGGTAAGAAACCACCAATTTGGAAAAAGGAAAATAAAAAACATCTACAGAAGTACTTATTTTTTACATTGAGCAGTTTAAAACCCACTCTGCAGACACTATGTAAAATGCACACCCATCTTCAAACTCAAGACTCTTTTTTCCTGATTCCCCCATAAAAATAGCAAAGGCAATAAAATCATAGACAATTTACTCTCATAGAATCATAGAATGGTTTAGGTTGGAAGGGACCTTAAAGATCATCTAGTCCAACCCCCTGCCATGGGCAGGGACAACTCCCACCAGACCAGGTTGCTCTAAACACTGTCCAGCCTGGCCTTGAACACCTCCAGGGATGGGGCAGCCACAACCTCTCTGGGCAACATGTGCCAGTGCCTCACCACCCTCACAGTAAAAAATTTCTTCCTGGTATCTATTCTAAATCTCCCCTCTTTCAGTTTGAAGCCATTCCCCCTCGTCCTATCACTACATGCCCTTGTAAAAAGTCCCTCTCCAGCTTTCTTGTAGGCCCCCTTCAGATACTGGAAGGCCACAATAAGGTCTCCCCGGAGCCTTTTCTTCTCCAGGCTGAACAGCCCCAACTCTCTGACCTGCCTTCATTACAGAGGTGCTCCAGCCCTCTCATGATCTTTGTGGCCTCCTCTAGACCCGCTCCAACAGGTCCATGTCCTTCTTATGTTGGGGACCACAGAGCTGGATACAGCACTCCAGGTGGGGTTTCCCCAGAGCAGAGCGGCAGAATCACCTCCCTTGACCTGCTGGCCACACCGCTTTTGATGCAACCCAGGATGCGGTTGGCTTTCTGCGCTGTGAGCGCACATTGCCAGCTCATGTTGAGCTTCTCATCCACCAACATCAAAAGTCCTTCTCCTCAGAGCTGCTTTCAATCTGTTTTGTGCCCAGCCTGTATTTGTGCTTGGGATCACCTCAGCCCACATTCAGGACCTTGCACTTGGCCTTATTGAACTTCATGAGGTTTGCACAGGCCCACCTCTCCAGCCTGTCCAGGTCCCTCTGGATGGCATCCCTCCCCTCCAGCATGTCTACCTCACCACACAGCTTGGTATGGCCAGCAAAGTTGACTTTAATTGAATGTTTTAAAATTGTTCTAATTTAGTTTTTTTATTTAATTTTTAAAGGCAAACTCTCCTTTAATTGCTACGAATACCTGAAAGACCCAATGAACAAACTCTGTTTCTCTTCAGCTCCAAAATTCTATTCTTCGAAATAATACTGATGACTTCATTTCCAGGTTACTGACTGGCTTTTAACCACAAGTGGGTATATAGAGGAAAGTAATGCGGTGGAAAAATAGAGCACTTCTACCCTCAAATGTCTGGAGAAAGCACTAAAGGAGGAAAAAGTCCACAAAAAATAAATTTCAGAAAGTGTGAGAATTAGAAATTGACCCTGGTGGCTTGGCACATGCTCACATACTTTCCCTCAACCAAACTGGAGGCTGAGTGATGCCTGCAGCAAGAGAGAGGGCAAAACTGGAAGGGAGACTATGTGCAGAGCTACTGAGAAAGGATAACGTGGGTTCCAATGATTTTTTCTTACTATTCCACCTTGGATACAGATCTGCTTTTTTATACCATGTCACAAAACCACACTGAGTTTTTCTTTCCAAACTCTTCTCCCCAGTTTTTTATAACTTCCTCCACAGCTTCCTATCATTATTCTTACCCTATGGCTGAACTTCTCTAATCATTCTGAATAAGATCTATCCATTTTTTTTGTTGGAAGATGCCTTATCTGAAAAATCTCTGTGCACTCACTATTGGCAAATAGAGCAGGCACCCAATGCTCATGGTTTCTGTAATTAATTTTCCGGGAGACACTCAGGGACACCGAGACAATTCCAGTTACAGGGATAACTGACAGAGGATTTCATAGAATCATGGAACAGTTTGGGTTGGAAGGAACCTTTAAAGGTCATCTAGTCCAACCCCCCTGCAATAAGCAGGGACATCTTCAACTCAGAGCCCCGTCTAACCTGACCTGGAATATTTCCACAGGTGAAGCATCTACCAGCTCTCTGGGAAACCTGTGCCAGTGTTTCACCACCCCCATTGTAAAAATTTTTTTCCTTATATCTAGTCTAAATCTACCCTCTTTTAGTTTAAAACCATTACCCCTTGTCCTATCACAACAGGCACTGCTAAAAAGTTTGATTGAGCAACCTTTCAAACTCAAGAAACTCAAAAACGTTTTTGCCTCCCACAGGACTTTACAATGCATCATAAATCTCATAAAATTTTATTGTGGTTAAACATCCAGCAATAAACTTTTCCCGAAGCAATTACTCTGCCTGCTACTCAAGAAGTGGTTTATGAGAATCAAGTAGAAGAAAATATATTGTGTCATCCAATGATCCAGTAGCTATGAATGAAAAATTCCCACTTCTTCCTCTGCTACTCTTAAAGGTATGTAAATTCTACATACTGAAAAGCTAACAACCCAGTCTTTTCGGATCATGTGATGAAAATGCCTACTGAAAGGTGTGTGAGGTAGGCAGAAATGGAAATACACCGTGAATTTGGTGCAGTTAAAATGTCAAAATTAAGACGAGCATATATTCGCACCGAAAATGAAGAGGTATCCTAGTGTGAAGTATATAGCCCTGCTCTTCCAAAAAAATGAGATGATTACGATACCAGGTACCATTATATAAAAAGAAAGTCCTAAAACCAGCAGTTATGAACAAAGCCCAAAACAGGGGAACCAACAACAGTATGGTATGTTTGACATTTTTACCCAGCTGTAGGAAAGGTTACTCTGATGGGTGAGGAACACTGCATTAGGAAACACTTAAATTCCAACTGGAAACACTCAAATATATCCATGATTTCATTTTTATTAGTAGCTTACTAAGAAGTGCTGAACTGAAGGATTTAGGCTTATAACGTGCACCAAACAGCAATAAGTAGTGCACAAAATCTTTCTATTTAGCTCATTACATCAATCAAGTGAATCCATGTCACACTTACAGGTGTTTTACAGAGTCACAGAAAGTATTACATCTTACAATCAATGCCCAATATTGTAACATTTCTCTTCCATAAGAAGACCTCAAATAATAACAGAGGTAGAAAACAGTAGAGTATACGCAGGACATTATAATAAACATAAGTAAGCAAAGAAAACTCTTTTCTCAGACCAGCCAGAAGTAGTAGCACAGTGAAACTACACATCTGTAAAACTCAATGAATAAACCTTTTTTTTTTCCTTTTGAGAAACAGATTTCTTAAAAAGTTAATAATACAGTCAAAATATTGGCTATAACTCAAATTCAAAAAAGCACGTGTGCACAGAAACAGAGGTCAGCAACGTACCAAAACTCAGTCAACCTGTTGCAATATATTAGGAATTAGTTAAGATATTTAAAATTTGTTCTGGGTATACAGTAGCCCATGTTCCTTCAAAAGACAAAATGCAGAGACTACAATCATCAGAAAATAATCTCGTATTTTTCTTGGTCCTTCCAGTCATTAGGTAAGTCGTGAGGGTTATCTGGTCTCAGCCACAGCATCAGCAGAAAAATGAACAATTGAACTCCTACTGTTGGCTAATGTCTCCTCATTGCAATCAACTGGAATCCATAAGAGGAAAAACATTGTTTGACCGCTTCTGGTAGCTGTTTTCAGACACTTACAAACCCAAAGCATTTGAAATATTTAAAATTTGAAGGGAAGTCTATGAAATCAGGTGGTCTGTCATTACTAAATGTTACATAAGAGCTATCACAGATTACGTCAACTAACTAACGTGCATTGAAATGTGAAGCAGGAGAAAAAGAGCATGCAAGGACAATTAAAGCACAGATACGATAATGAGAAGATGAGATGTTCAAGGATAAGGGAAGATACAGCATGGAGGTGAAATTTTTGGTACTGAGCAGTTCATCAGATCATTACCAGATTTGAAAGCTCCCTTACGGATACGGAATTACAAAAACATGCTCAAATCATGTCAGCTGACAGCTATTACTGATGGACTCCAGGAAAAGCCATAGAGAGAACTGGAAATGCTTTAGGAATTTTGGATCTTTAAAAAACCAAATACATCAAAATAAATTTTTTCACTCATGTTTTAATTTTTAAAAAAGTCATAGAAAAGACAGGAAATTCAAAGATCTGGCTGCCACTTCAGCGATATTTCCCTGATTATATTATTGTACTCAAGAATAATTTATACCAATTCACTATATAAGACTGGTACAAGAATTAAGAATAGTTCAAATGCACAACTGGTTTCTCTAAAGAGAAACCTTATAAAAATGTCTTTGTTTTAATTTATTTTTAGTCAAGTTAAGACTCAGTTCAGCTCCATTATCAGTTGAGTTTTCTTCTCCCCTCATCCCCTTTTCAAGGGTATAAGAAACACAAACAAAATTATGCTAAATAAACACCTGAAGAGGACAGAGAGTCCTGAATATCCCCCCTGTTTTCCCCCTGTTCTTTTCATCATTAACACACTTCCCCACTCACCTAAGAAAGGATAGAGAGAGTAGTGTGCGGCTGGTGTACTGTCATTGGAGGAACTCAACAACCTGAAATCATATTTGGGTCTCTCAACAAGACTCACTCCTATTTCTTGGTCACCCTTCTGTTTTAAAGGCATCTCAATCAATACTCCCTAACAGTCAGATCACCTCTCTCTTTACCCATGAAGTTTCTCACACACAATCATTCTTCCAGCAGCTTATGACAGTTTTCCCTGGAGAAGAGGCATCAGTTCCGTTACGAGTCCTCTAACAGAAATCCTCACTTCCTTCTTCTAACTAACTGCACTTGTAAAATAATACAGTGTTAGGAGCGTACTTGTAGATTTGACAGCTGAGCGTGCAGCACGGATTGCGTAAGGGTTTTGTGTGAGATCAATAACAAGCTCAGAAAGCAAGTCTGGACTAACAGTAGTTAAGAGCTAATTACTGTAAAATGTGCCCAAGTAATGAAAGACAGCACTTTATGTAAAAAAGCAGCAGACTGAAGGCACTCATGAAAAAGATGAGCACTAGGAGATGCTGCCATCAGCAGAGATGTGGAAATGCAGCGTATCAACCCATCGAATGACTTCTGCCTAACTGTAATATAATTTTGGATATAATATCCACTGCAGTCTTGGACATTGAGTCTGAAGGCCAGACAGTGGTATCTGTCGGGAAAACACAGAGGATGCTGCAAAATGAAGGCAGAGGGAATGTTTGCTCCCCAGAGGATGCTGACCAAACACGTGCACTCAGGAGGTGGGAGACAAAGCGGGTCAGGGGGTCCCAACAGCAAACTGCCAGGCAGGGCGCTGAACGAGCACAGAGCAAAGAGAAAGTCTGTGTCCACAAAGACATTACGCCTTGAAAAAAGCCCATGAATGAAAAATTAAGTGGACTGAGACAGGGGTGAAAGGTTGTAAAACTGTAATTTTAATCTGGGTTCTGTTAAATATAGGTCACATCTACAATAGAAAAGTGACACAACTTTGCTGAGCTATTTGTGATTGCTCTGCTGCATATTCTCATCGGAATTCAGCAGAACGCTTAAGCACCATCTCAAATCCTATCAGCTCCAGTGCAACTTATATCCGTGTTACACAGTGGTAAGCTAATATACTGCAGCATAAAAAGAGTGTTAATAACACACAAAATGATGTTGTTAATAAACATACATGAATGATTGTTGTGCTAGATCTTTTTTGATACTAAATTTAAGCATAGATCTTCTGAGATAACATTAACTGTAAAAAAAATTTTAATTTAAAAAAAGTTATTTTTGAAAGTAATATATATCAAAAGCATCTGAAGATACTCAAATCCATTTTTGCTGCTCCATATATAAAAACGGGTATATTATTAAGTGACAGAGATCTTCTGAAGTCTTACCAACTCCTAAAACAGCCATAGCAGGTGGCACCACCTGTGCCGACCCAAAGCCAGCCAAAACAAATCTCTACACAGTACTCCTCCAAAAAAAATAATAATGCGCTGATCGCATGAATAATGAAGGATGAATTATGCCACCGGACATAAACAGCTCTTCCTGGGTGCAGCAACTGTGACCAATCTCTCATTACCCTGAGCCCTTAAAATAACTGGAGGGAGGAGCGAGGCCAGCGCCCGGCGGCAGCAGCATGCCAGACCCGCGCAGCTGCACGTGCGCCGGGGCTGCGCCGCTTGCCGAAGCAGCACATTCCAGGTGCTTTCTTCAGGCTGGAGTCACAAGTGGGCTCAGGCGTGAAGTGCATCACATAGTTAAATGAGTTCCTTGCTCGCTAGTCCATTTTTTTCCCACACGTTTTATGTCATTGATTCACTCCAGCTAATCTGAAAGACCAGAGAACTTTAACCCCACCGCCACCCCGTCCTAAATTGAGAAAATCTGTTTTCAGGCTTGTCACATTTTCAATAGAAGGAGAATGAGTAACAGGCTCCTTTCTCACTTCCTAAGTATATGCTTTTTTCTGACTAAAGACTTTCACCCTGTTTCTGCCAGAGTTTGTCAATCTAACTTTTTCTGCACTTACTTTAATACAATATGAGATGCAATTATCTTCATAGTGTTTACAGCATCTATGCCTTGGGCCGTGTTTGCACCTGCAAAAAGCACAATGAAACACATATTAACTCATAACTGTTTTCAGCGTCATCGTCAGGAGACTTCATTAATTCTTCTTGCCTAAAAATACATAAAGTGTTATTTTTCCCACCACTCATTCTCCCCATTACCTATCGAAGGGCACTGTGAACTTTTATGATGCCATAAAAGGACAATAAAAACTAACAATACTTTAGTTGTACAGCAAGAAGTGTCCACACACTTATTTGGATCCAACCTCTTGCCGTACTACACATTAAATACAAAATTAAAGAACAATTTTTTCTGCTGTGATCAACAGGGAGAAGCGATATGACCCTTCCCGGTCTCTCTCTGCTCCGTGGTTCTGGAAGGATATTTGACCAAGCATCCGTTACCTGTGTTCTTATATCTTTCATACCATTGTAAGGTTCATTGGAGGGCAATGCAGAACATTCAAATGCACAGAGATACCCTGTGAGACTTCTCTCAATTACAAGCCTTTCACTTCTGGACTATTCCTTCTACTGTGTTGATTTTTACGTAGTGGTTACTTCAGACCAAGAGTTTGACCTTGAGCATTTAAAAGAGATTGGCTTGGGATGGTGGGACGTGTGGATTGTACAGTTGTTAGCCCTACATTATGTAGAATTAAAAGAAGTAATGTCATACCAGGTCTGAAAATTATATTTTGCTATAGCCAAGTACTTAAGTTTTAAGGCAAAATAAATTACACAATTTATACACTGTGCCAAATATCTTGGAAGTTTTGAATTGTGCACTATAAAGTCTAATGGCCATAAATCATCTGTAAGGTCAGTTTATGTAGCAAAAATTGTAATGAGAATGTGATCAGGTTACAGGCATTTAGACTCAATTATATTGAAAAGAACCATATGGAAGAGAAACCTGTGAGAGCATTAGGACTGAAAACTGAAAGTTTTCTGAATGTCTGAGTTGGGAGTTTGAAAACTTTGAAGAAAATACACTCTTCTCCACCCATAATCCCTTGATCCTTGTATTTACTGAACAGCAGAAGAGCTGTGAACTATATCTAGCAAATTGAAAAAGGGGTATTTAAGGCAAAATAGGTATAAGCAACTCAGCTAAAAGAATCTGTATATGGCTGGAGCTGTCTTCTCCCTGTAGGTCTTTTGTTGCTTCGTACAGTCATGCCTGAGAAGCCACTGTTGACTTCCCTTATATTTTTCAATAAAAAACCACAGCAAATCATAGGAAGTCACCATGTGATACAGGTCACTTCACTTCTGTTCATTATCTGAGAAAATAAGATAAGCCGCTACTCTGAGAACAGAATGCACTAGGAAGACTTGTTTCTCTCCTGCATGTCAGCAGGTAAAGATCTGGTCATAAAACTGCTCTGGAGAGGTCAATGGAAGTGACAATTCATAGGTGTGGTATGAACAGACCCCCAGTCCATTTTCTATTCCATCTTCCCTGTAAATGCATGACTCCTTGCGGTACCCAACGTGCCTGAAACGGACAAATCAAGCACAGCAGAAGTACATCATCCGAACGTATTAGCCTGAAAAGCCATCCGATGTCATTTCTTTAAGCTCATACTAAAGGACAATAAATTGGATCCTGTAGACCAGGAGGGAACCTATCTTGCCTACGTTCAGATGTCTAGATTTGACCTTGTGCAAAATCGTTTCAGACTCACACTTGGCTTTGCAATTTCCTATTTCCTGATGGAGGAGGCAGCCCAGGTGCTACCACCACAGTTCCTAGACAGTTCTCCTTTATGCAATACAGGGATGTAGGTCACCAAAAAGATGATGTTACAGTCACTTAAGATGACCTCAGTAAGGTCTGCTGCTGTGCAATTTCCCCTCCTTAATATCACTACTAGCACCAGCAGAACCATGCCACAAGCTGGTTTTGCTGAGAACTGCGGAAAAAGCAACGACCACTCTGCTACTCCAAACTGATGGAAGTTACTCTCTCTCGTTAGACAACCACACGTTGCAAGTCATTGCTATGACATACAGGTCTTAAACCTTGCTTTCATTAGAGCTCAGCATTCGTCACTGCTAACTACCCAGTGAAAATGAAATGCAAAACACTTGAATGCAAAGCAATAGTATTAGAAACCATTGTCAAATACAAAGTAACAAACCATTAAAATGAGCTGAGTAAGAATGATTAGCTTTTTTTTTTGCTTTTCTTTTGTTTTCTTCAACTTACACTTTGTCCATGAGCTTTTTTGTTAGAGCCAGTATGTTCATTGGCTGCGATATTTTTTCACAATGCTTTATCTTTCTATCTGTTTTTGAAAATGCTGCTTCAGGTGAAAAACAATGAGTG